ACTTCTAAAAAAAAAAAAAGAAAAAAAATTGGCCAGTGAAAACCTTATTCATTGCAGTAGAACATTGTCTGGTATAGTGCCAGAAGATGAGCCCCTCAGGTTGGAAGGCACTCAAAATACGACTGCAGAAGTACTGCATCCTCAGAGTTGAGCTTAATGACATGGATGGAGTATGCTGAGCAAATAATCCTAGAAGCCCGACTGTATGAAGAAGAATGTGGCATCAGGATTGGAGGAAGACTCATTAACAATATGTGATCTGCAGGTGACACAACCTTGCTTGCTGAAAGTGAAGAGGACTTGAAGCACTTACTGATGAAGATCAAAGACTACAGCCTTCAGTATGGATTCCACCTCAACATAAAGAAAACAAAAATCCTCACAACCTGACCAATAAGCAACATCATGATAAACGGAGAAAATATTGAAGTTGTCAAGGATTTCATTTTACTTGGATCCACAATCAGTGCCAATGGAAGCAGCGGTCAAGAAGTCAAACAACGTATTGCATTGGGCAAATCTGTTGCAAAAGACCTCTTTAAAGTGTTCAAAAACAAAGATGTCACCGTGAGGACTAGGGTGCGGCTGACTGAAGCCATGGTATTTTCAGTTGCATCATGTGCATGTGAAAGGTGAACAGTGAATAAGGAAGACAGAAGAATTGATGCCTTTGAATTATGATGTTGGCCAAGAATATTGCATATATCATGGACTGCCAGAAGAATGAACAGATCTGACTGGGAAGAAGTACAGCCAGAATGCTTGTTAGAAGTGAGGATGGTGAGACTTTGTCTCATGTACTTTGGACATACTATCAGGAGGGACCAGTCCCTGGAGAAGGACATCGTGCTTGGTGAAGTAGAGGGTCAGTAAAAAGGAAGACCTTTAACAAGATACATTGACAAAGTGACTGCAACAATGGGCTCAAACATAGCAATGATTGTGAGGGTGGCGCAGGACTGGGCAGTGTTTTGTTCTGTTGTACATTGGATTGCTATGAGTTGGAACTGACTTGACAACCTAACAACAACAGCAACAGCATACAAAGCTAGCAAGCTAAAATCCTTTTGTGGGCCAGGCAGGTAATGAGGTCACATAGTAAGAGGTGGTGGGCAGTATGTTGAATTGCAGAGTGCCTGTCCCTCCTCAAGGCATTCAAACCCAACACAATAGAACACTGCCCTGACCAAAGGAAATCCATTTGTCACCTTCCGGCCCTCACATCAGACCCTGGGTTACAAATACCCACAGAAACAAGAGCCAACACTTACTGGGAGTGTACTATATGTCAGGCCTTTTTCTAAGTGCCTTATCCTTAATGACTTATTTACTCCTCACAATGTCCCCAGGAGGTATGATATGTTACTATCTCCATTTCAGAAGTGAGGAAATTGAGACACAAAGTGGCTTACATGACTTACACAGTATCATACAGCTGATTAGTGGTGGCGCAGAGATTTGAACCCAAAGAGTCAGATTCTAGAAAGGGCTCTACACAAAGGAAAGTCCACACAGATGCACGAGATATACAGTGATATCCACATTGGCTCAGCCGTCTCCCCTTCCCTCCACTACGTAGAAGTGTAGAGATGCAGAGACAGTTATGGCAGAGACAAAGAAAACACACCCAGAGAACACACAGAAACCACAGAGTTAGACTTTCATGGAATAGCATCCCAACCTTTTAACTTTTGCAATGCACATTATTTGTATTATGACTTTAAAATGGTCAGCACTGCTTTATACCTCTTAAAAGGATACAAATAAGTGGGGCCGGTGTGAAGAAAGTCATCTTTTGGCAAATACCTGCTCCTTTTTGTTTGCTTGTTTTAACCTGGTGTAAAGTTAAAGGGACAGTATGAATTTTTTGTTAGCTGCCAGCAAGTTGGCCCCGACTCATGGTGATGCTATGCATTGCTGGGTTCTGTGCCATCCTCATGATCAGTTGAGAATCAGAACGTTGTGATCCATAGGGTTTTCATCGACTGATTTTGAAAGTAGATTGTCAGGCCTTTCTTCCTAGACTGACTTAGTCTGGAAGCTAGGCTGAAACCTTTTCAGCTTCATGGCAACACACAAGCCTCCACTGACAGATAGGTGGTGAATGCCTGTGGGGTGCATTGGCCAGGAATGGAACTTGTGTCTCCCTCATGGAAGGCGAAAATTCTACTGCTGAGCCACCACGGCATTTGTTAAGACAATAAAAATTTGACAACAGTTTTTGCAAGATGAAATGGTGTTCTAGAGGGATTATCATGGTTGCATTGTTCCAAGTGTATAGTAGGCACTCAATTAATGTTGAGTAATTTTTTTATAGTGCATTTAGGTAAAAGTTTACCAAGCAAATTAGTTTCTCGTTAAACAATTAATACATGTATTGTTTTGTGACATTGGTTACCAATCCCATGAGGTATCAGCACACTCCCGTTCTTGACCTTGGGATCCCCATTTCTATTTGTCTAGATTTCCTGTCCCTCTTGCCTTCTCATCCTTGCTCCTGGGCCGGTGTGACCATTTAGTCTCATATGCATAGTTGACCTACATATGTTATTGTTTGTTTTATAGGCCTATTTATCTTGGCTAAAGGGTGACTCTCAGGAGTGACTTCAGTACTGAGTTAAAAGGGTGTCTGGAGGCCATATGCTCAGGGTTTCTCCAGTCTGTCAGGCCAGTAAGTGTGGTCTTTTTTTATGAGCGAAAATTTTGTTCTACTTTTTCTCCAGCTTTGTCCAAGACCCTCTATTGTGATCCCTGTCAGACCAGTCGGTGGTGGTAGCTGGGCAGCATCTAGTTGTGCTGGACTCAGTCTGGTGGAGGCTGTGGTAGTTGTGGTCCATTAGTCCTTTGGAATAATCTTTCCCTTGTGTCTTTGGTTTTCTTCATTCTCCCTTGCTCCAGACAGGGTGAGACCAGTGGAGTATCTTAGATGGCTGCTCACAAGCTTTTAAGACCCCAGACACTACACACCAAAGTAGAATGTAGAACATTTTCTTTATAAACTATGTTATGCCAGTTGAGCTAGATGTTTCCCAAGACCATGGTCCCCACAACCCTCAGCCCAGTAATTTGGTCCCTCAGGGAGTTTAGATATGTCTATATGGAGCTTCCATGACCTTGCCTTGGACAAATTTTGCTGGCTTCCCAAGTATTGTGTACTGTCTTACCCTTCACCAAAGTTACCACTTATCTATTGTCTAGTTAGTGTCCCTTCAACAAAGTTACCACTTATCTATTGTCTAGTTAGTCTTTTTCCCTCCCCACACTCCCCTCCTTCGTAACCATCAAAGATTGTTTCTTTCTGTGTGTAAACCTTTTCATGAGTTTTTATAGTAGTGGTCTCGTACAGTATTTGTCTTTTTGTGATTGACTTATTTCACTCAGTATAATGCCCTACAGATTCATCCAGGTTTTGTGAGATGTTTTGCAGATTCCTCATGGTTCTTTTTTATCATTGTGTAGTGCTCTATTGTGTATATGTACCATAGTTTATCCATTTATCTGTTGATGGCCACTTAGGTTGTTTCCATCTTTTTGCTGTTGTGAATAATGCTGCAATGAACATGGGTGTGCATATGTCTATTTTTGTGATGGCTCTTATTTCTCTAGGATATATTCCCAGGAGTGGGATTGCTGGATCCTATCGTATTTCTATTTCTAGCTTTTTAAAGAAGTGCCATATTGTTTTCCAAAATGGTTGTACCATTTTGTCGCAGTCCCTTACACGGGGCACCATCTGTCGCAGCGGCGACGGTTGTCGGGGCAGCCGAGACAATAACCAATGCCACAAGTCTTACAGAGAAGTGGGGCCAGGAGGGTCACTCTGAGGAGTTGAACCCCAGCTTCAGTCCCAGGAGTTTATTTTATAGTCAGTACAGCAAGCAGTGAAGCAAATAACAGAACAGTGGGCTTTGGGTGAATAACAGTAAGTTTCGGGCAAGGGAGGAGGAATTCAGGTAAACAGGCTAATCAGTAACGGGTTTGGAAAAACAAGTCGTGACAAGTCTCAACATGTTGGGGACAAGTCTCAACATATTGTGCAGCATAGAGGCCTTTATACATCCATATTTTAATGGCACATATCCCCACACCATTTTGCATTCCCATTAGCAGTGCATAAGAGTTCTAATCTCCTCAAAGCCTTTCCAGCATTTGTTAGTTTCTGTTTTTTTGATTAGTGCCAGTAATGTCGGGTAATTGAATCACAAGATTTAGCAGTTATTCAACAATTTTCAGAATGTTTTTGTATACTGTATTTTATTCTGTATTTCATAAACTTCTTGAAGTAAACAAGATAGGTATTATTATTCCCATTTTACAGATGAAGAAACCAGGACCTGGAGGGCTAAGTGACTTGCCTGAGGGCTTACTGCTGGCAAGTGTTTGAGCTGGTACCCAAGGGCTCCTGGCTCTAAATCCAGTTTTCTTTCAACTAGACTACACTTCCCTTCAATAAGTAAACCTGAAAACCATTTATAAATCTTGAGGGAAATGTGTTTTCTTCTAGAGCTGTTGAATTTCTGAAAAATCTGAAGCTCTTATCTATTTTTTTTTCTACTTTGGAAGGAGGAATATTAAATGTCTGCAGTGTTTAAGTTTTCTTAACCACCCTTTAGATCTTTACTCCCTTTAAGAGGATGTTTGGGACCATGATTTTTTCTGTTTATTTTTAATGTCTCACTTTATATTTCTCCATTATTGAAAGAGGGCACTGAGTATGATTTTTAAATACAGTAGATTTTTCCTAGGCTATTTGATATGATACATTTTATAAAGGTTCACTGCCAAAGTCAGTTGCAATAATAGCATAATAGTTTTAAAGTGATATTTACCAATGTAAATTTTCCTGTTGCATAGTTTTTGAAATTATTTTAAGCATTTAAAACCATGTTCTTCTTTTTTTTTAATTTCCATTAAAAATTCAGCATCTTTGTGAACAAAGGAAATATCTTCCATTTCCCAATCCCCACTGTGACATTTTATTTTTCTCCTTTTTCCTACAGATTCAGACAACTCGTTACATGGATTGAGAGATAGAATATTTTACTGGAGCCTGCTTTGACTCCCCTATTCCTCAAGTAAAGAAATTAAGCACGATTTTATAAAAAGAATTGTATGAAAAGATGGTACCTTTTACCATAATTTTGTTTTGTCCTCTCCTTTCAGGGGCAAGAGGGGATGGAATGTGCTTGTTTGCTACATTTCCTGTGGTACATATTTATCCCTCATATTATCTGAAACCAACTAAAGAGGGAGTGTTTAGAAAAAAGAGAGGAAAGCTCATACAAGTTATAAGTAAGATGCTTGCATCTTAATTTTAATAGAACACAGAAAACCAAATGCTTTCAGAAAAGGGCCCCTTCATGGAGTAATTTGCCTGGTATGGCATCATAGTTTGTTATATAATTTCAGCCCTGTTACTATGGTAACCTGCTTTAGTGTAGCAGTCATTGTTACTCAGGATTTGTCGTTATTCCCCTTTCATTATGAGGCTCTATATCCTTATTATTAAATCATAGTTCTCATTGACAATGATATACATCCAACATTATTGCCAGACATAAAATCCCTGTCATTTCCCTCCCATTACCACAAGTAGTGAATGCAAGCTGAAGTCTAACTTTTACAAGGAAATCAAGACTCCTCTTGGCTCCTCTGATACCTACCCTCATGACAGAATTCCAAGTAGGAGAGAGAGAAGGCTGCTTTAATTTAAAATCACCCTGTGCCTATGGGAGAGGGGAGCATCATATCATGTCATTGCAGACTTGACTCTGCAGATACAAGTTCAGGCAAGAAGTTGTTAAAACTTTAGTGTGACCTCTAATTTCTTTTTCAGTCCTTTTATCTGTATTTTCATGTCACGCATGTAACTGCCTCTTATATTATTTGTGGAGCAGCTCACTTTCCCTTACTTACCAGTTGATTTTCTGGATTCCTATCTGATATTTTTTTATATGAAGACTATGTCAAGACAAGGAGCCTTGGTGGCACAGTGGTTAAAGTGATCGACTGCTAACCAAAAGGCTCCATGGGAGAAAGATGTGACAGTCTCCTCCTGCAGAGATTTACAGCCTTGGAAACACTATGGGGCCACTATGAGTTAGAACTGACTCGATCACAGTGGGTTTTTGGATGTCGAGATGGAGAGGCCAAGATGCTACCCCTAATGTAAATCTGCACAGAACACTGTGAGACTCCTGGGATAACTATTTGTTCTTCCTAGTTTGGGAAGTTGGATGATGAGAGTACCTGGGCGAGGAAGTCAACAGCCCTTAGGCAGAGTGACCAGGTCTAGTGGTGTCAGATCTTCACTGTCTTTAGAAAAATCAGGCTAAAGGAATATAGGGATGGTGAAGCTGTAGCTACACACAGTTACAGATTAAGCACATCACTAGTCATAGTGTGCTCTCTTTCTTGTTGATAATTGTTTTATGTAGGAGAAAGAACCTTTAACTGTGCTGGTTAATAGCATGCCGTATGGAGGCAGTCTGTCTTGGTTCAATTTATGGCTCTACCACTTACTAGCTGTATGACCTTGACAAGTTTTTTAACCTGTCTGTGATTCAGTATGTAAAACAAGAGTAATAATAGTACCTAACTGATAGTTATGTTGTTGTTAGGCGCCGTCAAGTCAGTTCAGACCCATAGTGACTTTATGTACAACAGAAAGAAACACTGGTTGGTCCTGTGCCATCTTCACAGTCGTTTGAACCCATTGTTGCAGCCACTGTGTCAGTCCATCTCGTTGAGAGTATTCCTCCTGGTGGCTGACCCTCTACTTTACCAAGTATGATGTCCTTCTCCAGGTACTGGTCCCTTCTGATAGTATGCCCAAGGTACATGAGACAAAGTCTCACCATCCTCACTTCTAATGAGTGTTCTGGCTATACTTCTTCCCAGTCAGATTTGTTCATTCTTCTGGCAGTCCATGATATATGCAGTATTCTTGGCCAACACCATAATTCAAGGCATCAATTCTTCTTTGGTCTCCCTTATTCATTGTCCAGCTTTCACATGCATATGAGGCGATTGAAAATACCATGGCTTGGGTCAGCTGCACCTTATCCTCAAGCTGACATCTTTGCTTTTGAATGCTTTAAAGAGGTCTTTTGCGACAGATTTGCCCAGTGCAATACATTGTTTGATTTCTTGATGGCTGCTTCCATGGGCATTGATTGTAGATCCAAGTAAAACAAAACCCTTGATAACTTCAGTATTTTCTCCATTTATTATGAAGTTCCCATGTGTCTGTCAATTTATTGTACTGTGGTGGCTTGCATGTTGCTGTGATGCTGGAAGCTATGCTGTTGGTATTTCAGATACCAGGGTCACCCTTGGTAGACAGGTTACAGTGGAGCTTCCAGACTAAGACAGGCTAAGGAGAAGGACCTGACGGTCTACTTCTGAAAAAACTGGGCAATGAAAACCTCATGAATAGCAGCAGAATATTGTCTGATATACTGCTGGAAAATGAGCCCCTCAGATTGGGAGGCAATCAAAATACAACTGGGGAAGAACTACGTCCTCAGAATAGAGTCAACCTTAATGATGTGAATGGAGTAAAGTTTTCAGGACCTCAAAATGAGAAGAAACAGCTCCAAACATCCATTAATAATTGGAACATGGAATATATGACATATAAATCTAGGAATATTGGAAGTCATCAAAAATGAAATGAACCACACAAAGATCAATATCCTAGGCATAAGTGAGCTGAAATGGACTGGTATTGGCCATTTTGATTCAGACAATCATATGGTCTATTATGCTGGGAATGAGAAATTGAAGAGCAATGGTGTCGCATTCGTCATCAAAAAGAACATTTCAAGATCTATCCTGAAGTACAGTGCTGTCAGTAACAGGATAATATCCATACACCTATAAGAAGGACCAGTTAATACGATTATTATTCAAATTTACACATCAACCACTAATGCTGAAGATGAGGAAATAGAAGCAGAATGAGTTGTAGAATGACATCAAGGACATCATACATGAAGAAAGCAAAAGGTCATTAGGAAGATAGGAAAGAAAGAAATGACCAAAATGGTTGTCAGGTGAGGCTCTGAAACTTGCTCTTGAATGTAGAATAACTAAAACGAAAGGAAGAAATGATGAAGTAAAAGAGCTGAACAGAAGATTTCAAAGGGTGGCTTGAGAAGACAAAGTAATGTATTGTAATGACATGTGCAAAGACTTTGGAGTTAGAAAACCAAAAGAGAAGAACACGGTTAGCATTTCTCAAGCTGAAAGAACTGAAGAAAAAATTCAAGCCTCAAGTTACAATATTGAAAGATTCTACATGGAAAATATTGTATGACGCAAGAAGCATCAAAAGAAGTTGGAACAAATACAGAGTTGTTGTACCAGAAAGAATTGGTCGGTGTTCAACCATTTCAGGAGATATAGCATGTGATCAAGAACTGGTTGTACTAAAGGAAGACGTCCAAGCTGCATTAAAGACATTGGCGAAAATCAAGGCTCCCGGAATCGATGGAGTACCAACTGAGATGTTTCAACAAATGGATGCAGCCCTGGACGTGCTCACCCGTCTGTGTCAAGAAGTTTGGAAGACAGCTACCTGGCCAACAGACTGGAAGAGATCCATATTTGTGCCCATTCCAAATAAAGGTGATCCAGTGCAATATGGCAATTACCCAACAATATCATTAATATCATACATATGTAAAAGTTTGTTGATGATTATTTAAAAGTGGTTGCAGCAGAACATCAACTGAGATCTGCCGGAAGTTCAAGCCAGATTCAAAAGAGGACTTGGAATGAGGGATATCATTGCTGATATCAGATGGATCTTGACTGAAAGCAGAGAATACCAGAAAGATGTTTACCTGTGTTTTATTGACTATGCAAAGGCATTCGACTGTGTGGATCATAAAAATTATGGATAACATTGCAAAGAATGGGAATTCCAGAACAGTTAGTTGTGCTCATGAGGAACCTGTACATAGACCAAGAGGCAGTTGTTCAAACAGAACAAGGGGATACTGGGTGGTTTAAAGTCAGGAAAGGTTTGCATCAGGGTTGTATCCTTTCACCATACTTATTCAATCTGTATGCTGAGCAAATAATCTGAGAAACTGGACTATATGAAGAAGAATGCGGCATCAGGTTTGGAGGAAGACTCATTCTTCACTTTTGGTTTTCTAACTCCAGGTCTTTGCACTTTTCATTATAGTATTTTACTTTGTCTTCCTGAGCCACCCTTGGAAATCTTCTGTTCAGCTCTTTTACTTCATCCTTTCTTCCATTAGCTTTAGCTACTCTATGTTCAAGAACATTTTTCAGAGTCTCTTCTGACATCCATTTTGATCTTTTCTTTTTTTTTCTGTCTTTTTAATGACCTTTTGCTTTCTTCATGTATGATGCCCTTGAAGTCATCCCATAACTCATCTTGTCTTTGGTTATTGATGTTCAACGCCTCAAATTTATTCTTCTAAATTCTAAATTCAGAATTTGCTAAATTGAGGTGGGATATACTCAAGGTCGTATTTTGGCTCTTGTGATCTTGTTTTAATTTTCTTTAGCTTTAACTTGAACTTGCAACTTCAACTTGAACAGTGAAGCTTCCAGACTAAGACCTGTTAGGAAGGACCTGATGATTTACTTCTGAAAAAAATTGGTCAGTGAAAACCTTATAGATAGCAGCAGAACATTTTCTAATATAATGCTGGAAGATGAGTCCTCCAGGTTGGAAGTGACTCAAAATACGTGTGGGGAAGAACTGCCTCCACAAAGAAGAGTAGACCTTAATGATGTGGATGGAGTAAAGCTTTTGGGACTTTCATGTGCTGATGTGGCACGACTCAAAATGAGAAGAAACGGCTGCAAAAATCCATTAATAATCGGAACTGGAATGTACTACATATGAATCAAGGAAAATTGGAAATTGTCAAAATGAAATGGAACACTTAAAGATTGATATACTAGGCATTAGTATATATTAGTATATAATACATTGGTGTTGATAGATTAGTGTATTAACACTAGTTAATAGGACTATTATTCAAATTTACACACCAACCACTAATGCCAAAGATGAAAAATTTGAAGATTT